TGGCAGGGCCGTTCGGAAACCAGCTCCTCCTCCTCTGTGATAGCTGAAAATGAAGACCGCAAAGATGTGAGGAGGCATGATTTTCAGTCTTTTCGTGCTCTGGTGTCAGCATGTGTGGCTTGTATGTGAGCCTACCGCTGAGTGTGCCATCCATGCCGCAGCCACAGTTCAGCAGGTCATGAGTCAGGCAGGGCGTCTCCGTCAGGCTGAAAAGATCTCGCAGGTCACTGGTGGAGAAACTCGTGTGCTCTGCCCCTTTCCCCATGTCAACCACGGTTCCAGAGAGTCCCTGTTTGGACACCTGTCGCTGAAATATACGCTCCTCAATAGTGCCTGAGAGAAAGAAACAAAACTTTAAAACACTGTTGATATGGTGCACTTTTTTTTTTTTTTGTTCGGAATTTGTATTTACGCGTTCTTGCCTGCAGTGAGAAGACGGTAGATGTGCACAGTCTTCTTCTGTCCATCTCTCCACACCCGAGCCATGGCCTGGACAGAGAAGAGGGGGGAGGATAACACACACGTATTCAGTGCCCTCTGCTGGATTTGCATGTACTCGTACACAAGGGCAGCTTCACACTTGTTCGATTCAATTCATCTGCCCTAAGCAACGACCAGATTTCCATATTAGAAATGCCTATTTTTTTAATACCTATTTGATCTTTTTCTCCCTGATAACAACACTGATAATTTTCAGTTTCTTTTAAGTGTGTCTTAGTGAAATCCTTAACATGTTTTGGTTCCTGTCATTTCAATCGTGTTCTTTTTTTTATTTTCATCGTGGGTTTTTTTCCCCCACTTCTGTTGTTTTTTTTAATATTTCCGTGTCATGGTTACCATGTCCATCTTTTACATACAGCTCACGATGGATACCAATAAAACCAAAGGCACTTTTAGACTTCAAACAACCCCAACATTTGAGTTTTTTTACCTTTTCAGACTATTACCGTTTGTATTTTACCTGAATGTCGTTGGCAGGGTTCCAGTCGATGTCGTATAGCACCAGGTGGGAAGCGCCAATGAGATTAAGCCCAACCCCACCTGCTTTAGAGCTCAGCAGAAACAGGAAGTTCTGAGAATAGGGACTGTTGAAACTGTCGACCAGTCGCTGCCTCTGGTTCGTGGGGGTATGTCCGTCCAGCCGACAGAAGGTGTAGCCCATGTGTACACACAGGTCCTGGAGCAAGTCTAGCGTCCGAGTGTAGTTTGACACTACGACCACCCTGCAGGAGCACACCTACTATCAAATGTGACGCTTGATAAATAAAGTTTTTAAAAAATCCAGATGATCCAAACAATCAATAGCATCTTAGCGTCACACAAAAACACACCTGTCTGAAGAGCTCAGCTGTCTAATGGCGGCAAGCAGGTCCGTAAGAACCAGCAGTTTTCCAGAGTCAGCCATGGTGAATCCTCCTGAAGAATAGGATTCTGGGAAGAGATCTGCCAGCCCCTCATATAATGAACTCTCCACAGAGCCAGCATCTGTCCTCTCCTACCAACAGAACAACCCATGTTCATGGTTAGGACTGGGAATCACGATTATATATTTACAGTTTCCACTATGATCACAGGTTTCTGTCCCCCCAGCCAGCTCATAAAAAAATTAACCTTAACAGTGACGTGGAGCAGTCCGGGGTGATTACAGAGCTTTTTCAGTGCAGTGATGCAAGCCAGATGTGTGTGGGTTTGAGTGGAGCCCTGAAGGCAGGCCCTGAAGACTCTGTGGCAGAGGAGGTGCTTGTACAGCTCTCGTTGCAGAGGGGACGGCTCACAAAACAACGTCCAGTCGAGGCGAGGAGGCAGGTAGCGGTTGATGATTTCCTGCGTCCGCCTCAAGATGAACATGCCAGTCAGACGAGAGAGCTCGGCCGCTCGCTCCTCTCCCAAAACTCTCTCCTCCTGTTGGCAGTGGAAGATGTAAGATCAGGTTTAACACCAGATAACATTTTTATAACAACTGCACAGGAAAGAGAAAGGAGATGGGATTACCTCTGTGCATGCGGGCTGTCTGGAGCGCAGGATTGGTTCCTCGTATACTTTTCTATAAGCAGTCGATGAGCCCAGAATCCCAGGGTTCACAAACTCAATGATGGCGTAGAACTCCTGCAGGTCGTTTTGAACTGGAGTGCCTTCAAAAGCACAAAAAACAGTCTGTTATAAAACATCTGCAAGCAGTTGTAGCTGCCATTCAGAAACTCCCTTATCGCTTTCACCTGTAAGTATGACTCTGCGATTACACTTGAGGCTGCTGAGGGCTGATGATGTTTTGATGTTGCTATTCTTTAATCTGTGACCCTCATCACAGATTATAAGACCAAAATCAACTTTCTGGACCTGAAAACAGAAGGAAATTACAAGATAAGAGCACAAAGATCAAACAGCTTCGTTGGAAAAAGCACGCTATGAGACATCGGGAGAACATACCTGCTCCAGGCAGCGCAGCAGCATTTCATAGCTTATCACAAGAACGGTGTGCAGTGGGGACAAAACGAACTGCTCTATCCTGTGGTCCTAAATACATTTCAATGAAGAAAAAAATGGAATTACTTAATAAACTCCAGATTAAAGTAGATGATTCATTCAGATACTTGTTCTCATTTTAATTATTTACAAAAAAGATATTAAATCAAGAAAAGCCGGCAATAAAAATGGAGTAACATAATTAAGTTATTGAATAAGAGAGAAGAATTATTGCAATAGAATAAAATAGAAAGCTTATAATAAAATGGATGGATTTTTTTTAAACCACAGACATGTACCTAAGAGCATGTGGGTTCCTTCTGAGTTTTAAGCAGTGTGACTTGTTGCTGTATGCACTTTAATACAGAATGGATAACAGGTTATATACATATGCACTAAAGCAGTGAGTTCACATTCGCTTTCCAAATAAAATCATGTTGTTTCATGATTAACTGAACCAAGGACTTGTAATTATAAAACAGCATAACCTGATCCACAGTGAAAACACTGATCCTCTCACGGCCCAGCCACTTGTTGAATTCTGCGGCCCAGTTCTGTACCAGGCTGCCAGGTGTAACCACAAGCACACGCTTAGCAACTGGCCTCCCACCATAAGGTCCCTGCTTCAGCAACGTCCAAGACAGCGCCACGCTCTGGAGAGTCTTTCCCAGACCCATTTCGTCGGCCAGGATCGCACCGTAGCAACCTGCAGCTCTGAAGCACAGACACATAAGCACAACATCAAATCAGTGGCTCCGTTTTGTTTTGTTTTTTGTGTGGCGCTACAACAGATTGATTAAGAGGTTTTTTGCACAGCATTTCATGATAGCCAAACAGCACTGTCACCTCATGCCCATGACACACTCGTAGAGGAAGAGCAGGCCATCCCTCTGGTGCGGTCGCAGGTGTGTGGTCAGGTGTGGGTCAAGCACAACATCGACCATAGGAAGCCCTGACTTGTTATTTAACCACTGGTGGTTGGCGGAAGGGCGAGGCATCACCAGTGCACCTAAAACGATATGAAATAATATTATTAAAATACAATATAAATATATTTTTTGCCAATTTATGTAGGTAATAACTTAATGCATCATCAAACTCCAACTTTATCCACACACCTGGAGCGAGGGGGTCATGGCGAGGTCTGCGAGTTTGTTCCTCCTCTGGTTTTGTTTCTCTGTGGCCTGCTCCGCCCACCATTGTTGGAGGGCAAAAAGGTTTGAATGCCAAGCGGCAGGAGGGTGGTGGAGCAGACTTTGTGTTTAACTCCACTCGCTCTGTTTGGACCTCCTGAAAACAGCGCCCCTTGGCAAAGTCCTCAGCAGAAATGACTCCCATCACCTCCACCTCTTTCCCACCAATCATGAGAGTCTCTCCCTCGGAAAGCGAGGCCAGCTCCGACACCTTGTAGCCACTACCTACAGTTCAGATATGCACACTTGTCAGGATCGCGTGTAGTAGGAGAAATCAACTAGTATTGACCTACTTAGCCCTTTAGCATATTTTAATGTTTAATGCAGTAAGCTTCAGTTAAGTGTAAAAAGTATGCTTGTAGAATTTTATTTAAGATTTGAGTATTTAACTATTTTCCAGTGTTTCATGATCCAAAAACAGGCCTCTGGGGCTGACTATGCACAACTAAGGCAAAGAGGCAATAATACCTTACTTGACAGAAGCCTGGGTATTTTCCTGTTGTTTTTATATTTGATCTTGAGTAAATTAAATGTCAGGTAAATCATTTTAATTACAGTACTGATTACTTTCATTGAGTCTTAAGTCAGTCTTAATTTCTTTATATTTTGCAAGGAAAATGTGAAATAAATAGGTTCAGCAATTTACTGAAATGTGTAAATGGATTTTTTTGGTGCAAAAATCACATTTTATGCCTTTCACACTCTGTCACCTTTGATATTCTTGTTAGATTAGACAAAAGAAATGTAAAGAAATTATGTATTTTTCTGACAAGCTGCTAATGATAAAGTACTTGTCTTTGCCAAGTTGTTTGTTATGTAACACTGGCTCATCCTTCGAATTAGGTGCCTTTTTATTGCTTGAATGATTCATAGATCTGCATTTACAAGACTGCACTGAAAATGAGTGAAAAAGTAGCTGATGTTCAAAGAAAAACTAAGAAAGTCCTCGAGAAAGCCCGGAGAACTACAAGTCTAGCTCCTTGGAAGCCAAATATAAAGAAATGCAGGCTATCTCAAGGCTTTTTGTATATAGTATTATATTAAAATTGGGCAGTTGTCATTTTAAATACAAGCAACAACTATACAGGTGACGAATTATTAATTTGATGTTGGTGTCCGTCTTACCCTTTCCGATATCCTTCCCCTCCATATCTTTAAGAGTGACTGTGCGTCCTCTTGTCACCAGCACTGCGTCTCCCTCCCAGCGCTTATGTTTCTTCTTGCTGGCCTTACACCACACCACACTGAAGTAACGCGCCCCGTCCTGACTGCAGCCAGAGTCTGAGCCTGCAGGAGGCTGAGGGGTTTGGGGAGACCCAGGAGGGCCATCATTCACTCCTGTAACACAAAGACATAAAACAAAGTCAGATCCACCAGATGTACACAGGAAATTGACCAGCAGAGGTCACTGTCGCATCAAGCTTTTCAGCATAAAGGCTTCTACACGCCATTGTTGGCTCCACCTATCATGGAAACAAAATACAACATGTACAAGGCTCAAACAGTTAGCACCGTGAAACAATGCAGATGTCAGCAGATGCGGTCACCTTATGATCTTTCATCAGCTTCTACAAGACAGATTAAAGATGATTTCCTATAAAAGTGGAACACGTGACTTGGAAATAAACAGAGGACCAGAGGAAAATGGATCTTCTTTTTAATACAAACACGTGAACGCATAGACAAACAGTAAGAGAAATGGGCAACACTTGTATAACAACAGTACAATACAATCAATGTTGAACTCACAATAAATAGCAGTAACGCCAAAAACCATCAGGGCCCCTCCCTTCTTTTGTTCGCGCAGCCGGTCAACAGTTCAGCAACCAGCGAGAATTACTCACTCGAACATTTTTGTTATCCCAATAACAGATTAAGGCCTTCAAAAGTTTACCTTGTGCTTCAGTCCTGGTATCTCTAAAATTTGCTACTGGAGTGCTTTCTTGTGGCGACATGAATGGTTTTTGTACGAAGTCTACAGAATGAATAAAAGCGGCTATAAAAATTGTTTTGATAACCAAAACCTCTAGTGGAAAGTGGATTTCTACAGATGCCAGAATGGGTGGAAATGTTCTTTACACAGAGATAACAACACGTCGCTCACACTGACATCAAGTGCTTTAACTCTTACATTCATATTTTGCCAACAATCTTAGACAATAAAGATCATTAATGCCTTGCTGGCACTCCTTTAATTAGAGACTGGTGGTAGGTGTAGGCAGGAAGAGCACCACTGAGGTACATTATCAGTCAATACTACAAATATTCCCTTCCAAAACTTGGACTTTTATACATATTGGCCTGTCACAGTGTTACTGATGTGAGCTTTGTTTTATTACATAGATGTTTGTCCCCACTTTTGGTACTCATGGACACGATGATGCATTTTTAACACAGACAAGCACAAAGACGGATGGCAGCAGGCGTTATTATCCTAATTATCCTGCAGGACGTAAACAGGTTATCTGTGTGTATACGAGGCACTATGTTTCCAAAAGAAAGTCAAGTCCTGAAACTGATCTCACACAACCAAAATAAAACAAAATTGGTGACTGCTCCAAAGCACTTTTTTTCCTTTTTTTTTAAAAACGGTACTACTCAGAGCCCCTCCCTTTCTCACAGTGACCACAGAAGTGCATGTTGATACTTGTTATAGAGAAATGGGCAGTCCGTGTCTCAGTCGGGTTGCCTTCAGTTTCTCCACTTTGATCTTGGCTCGCAGCAGTTCCTCCTCCAGTTCCTGCTTCCTCTTCAGCCCCTCTCTCTTCTCCTCCAGGTACAGGGCCACCTTCCTGTGATTGGCCAGCACCAGCTCGTGCTCCTCTTTGGCCAGTTGCAGAGGCCGAAACCTGTCCGGCTCGTGGTGAGGGTAGATGTCGTTGGGGTAGAGCTCATGGCGTAAGGGCAGCGGCGAGGTGGAGAGAGGGATGTTAACAGAGGAAGGAGCTGGAGATAACGACGCTTCATAATCATGGATGCTGCCCAAGTCCTGCTCTCCCTCTCGCTCCTGGCCTCCTTCCAGCCGTGGTCCTGTGTGCGCTGGGAGGATGGGAAGGTCTGGCGGTGGTTTTACATCCTGTTCAGCGTCCAGCTGGACCACCTCATGGGGGATACTTGGGACAGATGCAGAGTAATCCTGAAGTCCAGCCAGAGATGAGCTGCTGCCAGGATGTTCGATAGGAGAGTTGTGCTTGCTGTATATTAATCTACAAATGGGAAAAACAGGATTAAAAAAATAAATAAATAAGTGAGCCTGGAGTGCTTAAGCAGCATTTACTATATCTTGTTTATGTGAAGTGTGTTGAAACCTCTGCAGGTAGGTAAATCAATCAAAGAATTAGGTGAATGATCAGGGAACATTAAAGGGAGTGAAAGGAAATTAAAGGATTTGGCAACAAGTCTTGGTGGTTACAACCTCACACGTGTGAAGCGTTTTTGATCCCACTCTTATTCCATCACTAGGATTTCTAACTGTGATGACTGCCTTTTAATCTGAATTATTCAGTGTATTTTTCTCCTCTGCGTACTCTCTTAATCCAGCATGAGGATATTTAGCAGCGTCTTACTTTTTGTAGTGCTGAGAACACAAGATAAATAATTATTTTAGAGCCAAGTTTCTGATAGAATTATCAATGTGAAAACCAGACCTATGTATTTTCCAAATGTACTGATGAGCCGCCAGTAAATGATGGCAGGTCATGCAGTATGTCCTCTTGAGCCTGACAGTGTGCAGTGAGTAATCTGATTGGGTTTGGGAGCATGAACGGCACCCCCTCCTCTCCCTCGGTATGTCCAAAACTCTCATGTGACTTGTGTTATCCTTTATCTTTGTGTGCGTGTGCGTATGTGTTCTCATAAGTGCAACCGTACCTGCGCAGCGCCTGGTCCTTTTCGTGGATGGGCACGTGGTGAAACAGGTGAGGGATCATCTCCATAATTCTCCTGGTTGGCTCGGAGATGCTTGCTCTGTACTCTGGCTGGGCGTGTCTCCTCTGCATCACTTCCTGCTTGGCTGACTCCTTCAGTCTCTTGTAGAGGGTCCGGAGGCCCTGAGCTGTGCGATGGGGTCTGTCTCCTCCCAGGGCATTGTACTGTTCAGCAACAGTGTCCCAGCACTTGTTCTTGTCCACGATGACCGCGTGCTTGTTGGTGTGCTCCTCCAGGATTCGGATGTGAGGCCGGACCAGCTTCAACAGGTCCAGCTTCTCAGAGAGCGTGAAGTTGGAGGAGCGGGCTTTACCCACCATACTGGACAAAAACACAGAGCTGGATGCCATCTTCTAGCATACTGGGCTCACGCAGACCAAGTCTGGCCTATGGCTGTCACCCTTTAGTAACCACACTCAGTGGTGTGGGCTCCTCTCTCTTCCCACCTGTCTTTTTTTCAGTCCCCGCCGCTCTCTTCTCCTGGTCCACGGTGACACACCAACACTGGTCTAACTCAGAGACATGTCACATTTCCCCCCTTCGTCTTCTTCCTCTCCAAATCAAACATAGGCTATGTCTAACAAGTGCATGGATTCTCACACTACTCCTGGACTCCCTCTCAGCTACGTTGCACAACAAAAACAGGCTGTGCTGCACACAATAAGAATCAGGCTTAACTAGGCCAGCCTCGTTTAGGCCCCCGCCTACCGCGGAGGGCTTTGGATGAATTCCTCCCAGCTTAGGCTGACGTAGCTAAGCCGCTTAAGCCCAGCCCGACCTACTTACAGCTCGGTCTCTCTAAACCCCAAACCGAGCACAGCACAGAGCACAGCAGAGATACACCGGCTCTACAGTGTGACAAAGGGAGTGCTGCAGAGGGACACTGCCCTCTGCACATGTGCCACAACAGTTTGCAAACAGCACACTGTAAGGTGTTAAAGTGTCACATGTCTAACGTCCTAAAGTGAGTGATGCTTTGAATCAGCGCCGGCTTAACTAACTGAACCGGGGGGGGGAGGGGTCTGTGAGCGCGCTGCGCATGTCCGTGGAACCCGCGCTTCTGGCCGTGCTTCAGTGTAGAACGAATGCAGACGGGGAACGCCAGCTCTGCAGCGCACGCGGCGACTCCGTTGATTAAATACGTGTGTGGGGCGCGTGCAAAAACAGCTCCAGGAAAGCGTGCTCGCGTCGCGCGGTCTCAGGAAGTAAAACAGAAGCACTGGCTGCTCCGACAGGAGGAAGGGGAGGAGAAGGAGACGCTGATCCCGAGCACCGTCCGAATCTGGCCGCTAATTTGCATAATGCTGGACCTGCTGTCACTCAGCCTTCGCCCGCCCGGTTTAACATCTATTCTGTGTGCGTGTTATTATTAGACAGAGCGGAATGCTATTTATATAAACGTTATATCTCATTATAGTGTCTGCTTGAAGCCTCTGCGCGGGGTTTGCTCGAGTTAGACTTTGCAATATAACAGCGAATTTAAACAGCAGTGGTTGGTACGTGTAGGGCACATTATGAGGAATAATCGCTAATGTGGTGGTGATGACGATGATGATGATGTCCATGTCATTTATAATACTGGCTCTGCAGTGTTATAAATTACATGGACAGGCCAGTAGCTGTAAACTCTCTTTTAGGGCCAGCCGTACCTTATTTTACACAGCAAACATGAAAACGCTTCAGGTCCTGAATCATCCATTTAGGACCGACAACCTCAAGCCAAATATTTGTAATTAGTAACGTCCCTGCCTTTAATGCTGTGTATCGATTAACCGATTATACAAATGTAGCCCAAAAAAACCCAAAATAGATTGCACGACACATTTTTAAGGAATAAATTACAAAAAATAAAAAGCAAAATGCCCGATGTTGCAAATATGATACAAATTTAATCTCATATATCAAATTAATATTTTTTTTTTTGTCAGAAGGGTCATTGTACGCTACATTTTCAAAAAGTTGGAAAGTTATTTTATGGTTCAGGGTTTAAAGGATTTAGAAACACGATATATTATCTTGTATATTATTATAATTATGTTGTTTATAGAAATCCTGGAGGATTTTCCGGTTTGTGTTCTAGTCACTGCACATTTTTGTGTTGTTTATTTACTATTTAATATTTCTTCTTTTGTACTGATATGGACTGCAGGTGGCTGTGAATGCAAAGTAGATGGTGTGGCTCAAGTAAATATACAGCAGAGCTTTGTGTTCAAGGTGACAGTGTTTGTATCATCTCTGTCTTTCTTTTAAAAAGACAACAGAATCAGTATTGTTCTGTATGTACACATTAATATACATGATGCTTTTTGCCTGAGGCAAAAAAAAAAATTGCCAGCAGTGTGACAACGTCTGTCCCACTTCCTCATCTTTTGCATATTTGTCACATTTACATGTTTCAGATCATCAAACAAATCTAAATATTAGACAAAAATAACCTGAGTAAATTCAAAAAGTAATTTTTAAATTATAATGTATTAAGGGGGGGAAGTTATCCGAGCCTACATGAAAAATTAACTGCCACCTTTGTAAAATCATAAATTAATTGATTAACCACAATTTTTAGAAAGTTAAGTTCCGTTTCTCTGTCTACACCCGAGTCTGATTAATGCCAGACCTGCTGAGTTACTAAAACCAGTCTGACAAAGTGAAGTAGGTTCAAAGAAAGCAACACATCATGCCACGATCTAAAGAAACAGCTGAGAAACAAAGTCACTGACTCACAACTGTCAGTCAGGCTTTGGCTTTGGGTCTCCAGTGAACCACACTGACAGCCACAAATGAAGAAAACTGAACAGCGGTGAACCTTCCCAGGAATGACTGGTCTACCAAAATTACTCAAAGAGTGCATCGACGAGTCATCCAGCAGGTCACGAAAGAACCCAGAACAGCATCTAAAGAATTGCAGGCCTCACTCACCTCAGTTAAGGTCAGAGTTTATGATTCAACAATAACAAAGAGAAGGCATCCATAGGAGAGTTCAAGGAGAAAAGTACTGCTGACCAGAGAGATCACAAAGGCTCGTCTCACATTTGCCAAAGAAAAACATCTTGATGATCCTCGAGACTTTTGGGAAAATATTCTGTGGACTGACAACACAAAAGTTGAGCCTTCTGGAAGGTTTGAATCCCGTTACATCTGACGTAACACAGCATTACATAAAAAGAGCATCGTACGAACAGTCAAAAGTGGTCGTACAGTACTCTGATGTCTACGTGGACGTGGACAATTTGCTGCAATTGAACCATGAATTCTGCTCTTTATCAGAAAATCCTGAAGGAGAATGTCCGGCCATCCTTTTGAGTCCTGAAGCTTAAGCTCAGGTTCTGCAGCAGGAAATTGATCCAAAACACACCAACTCAAAATGGCTTAAAAAAGAAAAGAAAAAAGAAGAAGAAGAAGAAGAAGAAGACGGTTTTGGAGTGTCCTAGTCAAAGTCTGGATTTAAATGTGTTTGAGAGGCTTTGACATGACCTTAAACAAGCCACTCATGCTGGAAAACCCTCCAATGTGGCTGAACTAAAGTAATTCTGCAAAGAAGAGTGGGCCAAAATTTTTCCATAGTGATGTTAAAGACTCATTGCTACTTATCGCAAACACTTGATCGCAGTTCTTGCTGCCAAGGATGGCACAAGCAGTTATTAAGTTCAAGGGCAATTACTTTTTTCACACAGCATCAGGTAGGTTTAGACAGCTTTTCCCCCTTAATGAATAAAATCATCATTTTAAAAAAAAACCCACTTCATTTTGTATTTGCTTGGGTTGTCTTTTTCTAATATTAAAATGTATTTGATGATGTCAAACATGTAAGTGTGACAAATATGCAAAAAAAATGATTAGCAATAAAGCAAAATGAAATCTTGCTTAGATTTATTGCTCCAGACGCCTTGAGGCTAAAAACGATTGAAAACCATAATTAACGACATTTTAGAATATTTGTCATAAATAAAGTACAATTATCAAAAACAAAAATAGTCCCATTAAAAAATATTAATGCATAAAATATAACAGAGCCCACAGCTTGGTCACTTGAGAGCTAATGAAACAGAAACGGCTGTTTCAGTAGAATCTTCATGACTAAACTACCTAAACCTAATGAGGCATCAGGTATGCTGCATGCTGAGGCTTGCACTGTCTTTGTCATTGTAACACACAGGGTTAATTGGTTTAGCTTTTAATCTCACCTGCATTTAATTAAAAACTAATTGGAAGTCTTGTTTGGTTTAGGAGCTATCCATCTTAAATAACAGCTTGTAATGGAACCATGATTTTGTTTTCTGGTGGAAATCTTGAAGCTTTTCTCATTTTCAAACGTTGCATCTCCTTGTCTCCTCAAGGAGAGGGGAATGCTTGCTGGATTAACTTTAAGCAAAGACACGCAGGTATACTCTTCACGGTCAAGAAAAATGGTGGGAGGCACAGCTGGAATACTTACAAGAAGAATCCTATCTGAAACTCTACCTCTAAGTTGTAGCAATAACTCAGTGATCACACCATCAACCCTTGACTATTTGTGGGTGTGATTAAAAAAATAACTACGTTTAATTAAAAGAAATATAAAAGTCATCATGAGCAATGTTATGTCCATCTGATTCATCAGACTCCTTTCCCTCCTGGCCTTCCACTCTTTGTTGTGGTCTTTTTTTCCTCTCTCTCTCATATGAGGCAAACGTATTTGTCCCCATATTTGTCTTTGCACATTCCCTGACATACATTGCTGAAACTATGAGAATCTCCCTCCAGGAATCAACTGACATTTGTAAGTTTTCATATTGCTGCTATGATTATTAAATTGGGCATAAAAAGTGAGAAGATGGGGCAAGAAAAAGACAAGGCTTTACATGGCTGTTTGTTTTTTACCTGCTGGTTTATAGTCTTCAGCAGAGGCTCCTAATCCAGGGTTCTGATGCTTTGTCTCAGCCTCATTTTCCTTACTCTCAGTTGCACTGAGAACACGAGCCAGAACCTTTGACAAGGCTGGGGCAGCTTCAGGCTGGACGTTAAACTCTGTCTTACTTGCACCTGGTGTTGCAAGGCTTCTCTGGACCTGCGAAATGAGGTACGGACAAAAGAGAATTCTTAATATGAGGAAGTGTGATTAAAAAAATAATGGAAAATAATCAAATTAGAATTATAAATACTGAGGGTTTAATACTGTAGGAAAAATGTTGAGAAAAAAAATTACTTTATCCAGTGCATTGCCTGAACCAAGTTTGGGGGTCAAAGGCTTGGATTGAGCCACAGAAAGTGAAGTACATGCACCAGGTGGCACAAATCGAGACTTTTTCACTGCATTACCCAAGAGCTTGCTGGGAGCTCCAGAGCGCCGCATCTTTCTTTTTCCTAAAGACAAAAAGCAACAGATACAATAGTCAGATTGTCTATTCTTATTTAATTCACTTAATGTACAGAATTCACCTGCTTGCTGCATACATGCTACTACTGTACATTACCTAATGTATATATTATATATAATGTCCCCCCTTTGCACAAGTCGAGGAGCGTGTCAGGTTACATTTCACTGTGTGTTATACTTGTATAACTATACATGTGATGAATAAAGAACCTTGATCCTACAAGCAGATTAATAACTGCCATTATATTATTTTTCTTAGCACATTATTGCACCGGTTTAATCAGTGACTAAGAAAACAGCACATTCTGAAATTAAAATTTTCAACCCTCTTGAGATTTGATTCAGTGTCGTGAAATGTATTTTTTGCACTGTGGGTTTCATTCTCCAGTAAGTCAGTGTTTCATCCAGTAATAAAACACTAATATAAAGCTAGAAGACGGGTAGCTTCCTCCTGACTGCTTTTCTCTTCTTTTGTATACATTTCTGATCAGTGATCAGTTTTACCTCCTCACAAAATATAAGAGGAATTTACGCACACTAATATAGTAAATTTAATGCATTACGTTTTATGCAAATACAGTAACATTTGGTTGACACAAAATCCCAACAAACACCTGGACTTGCCTTAAGGCGTTACTGCATGATTACCGCTTATTACAGACGGTTTAATATCCTTTGAGTGGTTTAAAATCAGGGGGGGAAAAGAAAACAAAAATATCTTCCTCAAAGGTACTCACTTTAATAACTTCGTAGGAGGCATGTAGCAAAAACTATCTCGTCAGTTCAAAACAAATCCAACTCCAACACTATTCCTTTTAATGTCACAGTCCTTTAGCATTATATGAACACATCTAGCTAATGATTTGTCCCTATTAATAGCAAAAAATTGAAAACTTGGATTATTTGCATATGTAAATTCTGCACTGGGTAAACTGTGCATATCGAAACGAAAATAATTCACTCAATCCTTTTTTATCATACATAAATCCTTGGGGTCACTATCCCTCTGATGGCTTTCTAGCTTTTTCACGTCCTCAATTCCTGCTTATGCTGGAATAATCGGCATATCACGATAATTTCTAGATAGCAACATGAACCTGTTACACAGCCAGCTAGCTAACACTAGCATAAAGATGATAATAACGCGGTTGGAAGTCTAATTTAGGCTTTATTATCAAGTCAGATAATGTGTGACAACGTATTGTACATACCCCGACGAGCTAAAAGTTAGACGAAAACACCTGACATCGCAGCCTTTAACTCAATTGCAACAGAACTCGTCTTGTCTTTCCTCTTCAGTGACTCTAGCAGCGGTTCAGTTTCTCCCGCTGAACAGTTTGAAGAATCTGATTGGTCGAACCAATACAAATAGGCGTGGTTAAAACGAAAGGGTACGTTTGGTTCTTCTGTCCCTACAGTTTAGCCGTCGCATTCAATGTAGTTTATATCCCGCTTGAATTTCAGCAACCGGTCGATCGATAACTTGTGAATCGAGCTCACCTACTACTCACTTCATCCCTTCATTAAATCACAGTGGAAGCGTGAAAGGAGGAATATTTGGGAAATCTAAATATTGGTATAACCGTTTAAGTAAGCTGCTAATCGTAATATTTTGTTTCACTAGCACAGCTACCACAGTAAACTCGCCTCACATGTTTTTTGCAAGGCTAAGGCAAACGTGTCAACTTTTCAAAATTTACCGCAAATTACTCAATTTGAGGGTACCTGAAAGTAAGTTATTTTCGCTAATACTTAATTATATTGATATTTAATAATATTAATTATTAATACTGATATTAAATGATAATACTGACAGGACATTTATTAAGGGGGGAAAAAAATATCCAAACCTCCAAACCTTTCTGCATAATTCAAGTGAGGTTGAGCTTCAGGGTAAGAACGGATGGCTGGACATTCTCCTTCAGGATTTTCTGGTAGACAGTAGAATTTATGGTCCCATCAATTACAGCAAATCATTCAGGTCCTAAAGCAGCAAAGCAGCCCCAGACCATTACACTATCACCACCTTGTTTAACTGTTGATATGATGCTTTTTTAATGAAGTGTTTTATGCAGTTTAGTTTTATGCAGTTAGTTTTATGCAGAGGTAACCAGACTCAACCCTTCCAGAAAGTTAAACTTTTGTCTTGAGGATCATCAAGATTGATGTAAAATGACTTTATTTACACTGGCATCCCGAAGATCTTTGTCTAACATTAAAATTAGTTTGATGATCTGAAAGATTTAAGTGTGAAAATATACAAAAAACTAAGAAACCAGGAAAGGGGAAATACTTTTTCAGAGGACTGTATGCATAAGAGAGCTTTACTTGATACGGGGTCATTTTGAATTACTGTTTGTGTGATTGTAAGTCTTACTGAGAGGATATAAAGAGAACAGGATGATGAGTCCAGGCATTTGGTGTGCTCTTTGATTTTTGTGATCATGCGTTCTTGTGCCATCTGATATTGAGTCTGTAATCCAATCATGGAGGGAGAGAGTGTAATCCATCTTAATCCCACATTCAGAGAGAGAGAGAGAGGGAGAGAGGGAGAAACCTAGGATAGGGTGGGTCATTAAGAGAGAGAAAAACAGCTGAAGGACAGCAGTAATCTCTGAATGCTTCACAACAGCAACACAGGTTTTTAATAGCTAGACAACAACACTGCTGCAGAATTTGTCTGCTTTAGACTCGGTGTTCAGTGTTTTACTGTAATTCGGCCTGTCTCTCTCATCTGATCTGGTCCCGTCTGACAGCTGCCTTCCTGTGTCCTGAACCCTTGTTGTCAGGGTTACCTCTCCACGGAGACGCACTCTCAAAGGTAGGGGAGGGCTTCAAAGGAGAGGAGACCCTCACCTTTATGGTGTTAAGAGTGAGGATGTGGCAGAGATAGGACGGCAGGTTGCCCGTGGAGGAAAGAGTGGAGTCAAAACCTGCAGAAAGAAGGAAGTAGGAGTTGGTTGAAGTGAAAGTTGACATCTGAGGTAAGATAAAAAGAAAAGAAACAAATGAGGAAACAAGACTGCTTCCTGCTTTACCCGTGTGTTGTTTACTCTGTTTAACTTTTTTTTTCTTTTTTTATTAGGATGGGCTATGATCTGGAGAGGTTTGTAGGTTACGTGAATGAGGGTCTACTGTGCTGTGTATGTCGAGACGTGCTGGAGCGCCCCCTCCAGGCACCCTGTGAACATGCTTACTGCAGCTCCTGCATCAGCACCTGGCTGGTCCATCACCACTCCTGTCCTGAGGACAGACTGCCACTGGATGTGGGTAGCCTCAAACCACTGTACAGGTCAGTCTCCATCTCCTGCAGTTGTGCTGCTTGCTTCACTTCCTCGTAATCATGCACTCTTAAGTTTTGCAGATAAGTTTTCATGCAAGTCAGTAGCGTTATAACAGTATGCTGCTTTTCTCACTCTAAGAGTTTCTGTCTGTGTTGGTTTGATTTGCAGGTACATGCGTAATGATCTGAACCGTCTGCAGATCCGCTGTGTGAATGCAGCACAGGGGTGTGAGGTGGTCTGCTCCCTGGAGAGCCTCCACTCACACGAGGACGAGTGTGAATTTGCCTTCATATCCTGCGCTAACACAGGTACATGACAACATCACACCGGACAAAACACTATTCATGCAGTGTGTTTTTATAAGTCTTTATGACAGTAAAAGTCAAACTGCAATCCTCATGGATGTGTATGTTACAACTGTAATGTGACACGTCTGTGGGGGTGAACAACAGGTGGGCCCTGTTGTTGTCTTGGCTACCCCAGGAACAGGTGCACTTTTAGGACTGAAAGCTCCCACAAGCCTCACACAGAGAGCACTGTGTGAGAGTCGGCTTTCATTCATTCTTTAATGAGTGATTTTTAGGTCTGTTTGAGACATGTACATGCAAGTGTGCGCTTTTGTGCTCACCATGTGTCTGTGACCCGTGTTTGGCAGGTGGAGAGTACATATGTTACCACTGTGGTAGGTTGAATCACATGCGGTGTGTGTGCATGCGGTGTGCAGTTTAAGTCACTAAAATCACCTGAAATTTCTGCTGTTGTGTGATTGCAGTGATCTGTGACTACATTGTAGATTTAATAACTCTACTTTAGATACACAAAGTGTTTACAAAGTACATTTTTGGTGGTGTTAGTAGATTATCTCCTCTTTGTACACACAGATGATTTTTATGGAAAAATTCGTGCCTGCAAATAAATTTCATCTTTGTGGAGATGCTTTAGAAGCCTGTCTTGTACACTGATAACGTGGTGGCTCCATGCGAGGCCTTTGCACCCTTGTGACTTTTCCCTCTCAGGCTGTCCCGTGCAGGTCGAGAGGCGGGGCTTGGAGGCTCACCTGTCAGAATGTAGCTTTCGCAGCAGGGAGTGTCCTAATGGTTGCGGCCACACGCTGCTCTCCATTGACCAGACACAACATAACTGTGTAGCGGAGCTGCGCACTGAGGTGGAGATGCTCAGGTAAGCTCTTCTGTGCTCTCTTCTAAGCCTGAACTCAGAGGTAACACCACCATCATGACTTGGTCTCATTAAATGTCAACTGTAGGGTGGAGATGCTGTGCAAGGTGGAAGAGGTGAGACGAGAGATGGAGTCTCGGCTGGACTCGCAGAGGAGACACATGGTGCAGAAAGAGTCTCAGCTGAAGAACGAGGTGGAGGAGCTCAAGGTAAAATGTCCTGTTACCACATAAATGCAACAGAAGATTTACTATATGAATAGTACTAAAGCACAGATTTGTGACCATGGGATACATTTACTATGAAAGTACAATGCAGTGTTTTGCAAATCATTTAAAAAATGCTGAAAGTTTAAAGGCAAAATGCTTTTAGAAGTCTGAACTGTGTGAATGTCATCTTAGCATTCAGACTTTTTTGCTCGGGTGCCATATTTTTTAAAAACAGTGAGAACTGTTTTTTTCACTGTCCTTTTGAAATAAGCAAGGCCTGAAAATTATATCTGATTCCTCACACCGCAGGACACCTTCTCAGGCCCATAAATGGTGGCAGTTTACAGATCTTTTTTAAGTCCATAAAATCACAATAAAAAAAGAAAAGAAAAAGAAAGTACACTTATCGGTCATTTAAAAAATAATCTGGTTCGTAGCAGGTTCTAAAATTAATAAATACAACCTCAGGTGAACCACACAGCTAAATGACACATCACATAACAAAACTAAGCCAGAATGCAGAAGCAGTGTATGTACAGTTTTACTGGATACAAAGGATTTAAGAGGGAATTGAAGCCACGTGCCGATAATCAAATGCACTTAACTGGCATGACAATCTCTAAAGAAGCAGGCAGTTTGCGGTTTTGGAGCATTAAGATGTGTGTTAAGACAATGCCAATGAGGCTTAACATCAGTAATGATATTAACAATCTGGGAAAGGCTATACGGTCATTTCCAAACTGTTTGATTATACAGCAAGGAAGATTATTTACAAGCAGAAAACACTCAAGACAGTTGCCAGTTTTCCCAGGAGTGGATATCCCAGTGTCAGACTGTGCAGTGCTGAGAGAAACTGTAAAAAAAACAAACAAAAAAAAAAACTACCTCCAGACTCTACATGCCACAACTTATTAAAAGTTGAAGTTCATGACAGCACAATTAAGTATGGCGTGTTTGGAAGGGTTGCAGGAGAAAGCATCTTCTCTTTAAAAAGAACATGGCAGCACAGCTTACGTTTGCAAAGATGCATTTGAACAAAGAGTTCTGGGACAACGTTGTCTGGACAGATGAGGTGAATATTTGGAAGTCAAACACAATCAAAACAAACACGTCACACCAACTGAGAAGCACGGTGGTGGTGGGGTGATGATTTGGGCTGGATTTGTATTCACTGGAATACACCTTGTAATCATTGAGTTAACCGTGAACTCCTCTGTACACCAAATTGTTCTAGAGTCAAATGCGAGGACATCTGTCCAGGAGCTAAAGCCTGGCTGAAATTGGCATCACACGTAAAACTACTCTATTGCTTCACGTCATATCCTGTCTGTGCAGGGTCAGCTATCCCGTGTGATGTGTGACATGCGTGCACTGCTAGGTGCAGAGCGTTTGAGGAGGCAAGAGCTGGCAGAGGCAGAGCTGGAGAAAAGAGAACTGCTACAGCTCCTCAGAGACCTGCAGCCCACCAGGAGCCAGAATCCCACTGAACAGGCAGCCAGGGACCAGCATCAGGGAGAGGTGCAGACATCAGGCTGGGAACTCCACACCGAGCCAACCAGACATCAACAGAGAGAGGCTTCTTCACATGCCTCCAGTCTGTCACTGCATTCAGCCCAGGCTTCACATGCATCAGGCCCACCCCCATCACCACAGCTGGGTGAGGTAGGGCGCAAGGGTGGGACCCGGAGTCTGACCTTGGACTGCATTAAAAAGAAGAGCAGGGAGGTGACAGTGATCTGAAAAAGCTGCAATATATGAAATCTTTATTTTTGTATTATTTAGCAACAAAATTAGGGTTTGGGTGAAACGTGTTACAAAAGGAAGGTTTTGCTACGCTGTGTTTTTAATGCTTAAAGATCAGGTCTTTGTGTGTTGGATTTCCTTCAGACCCCCAATAAAGATTATTATTATTTGACCATGAGATCAGACTAAACCATCATTTTTGAACCACCTGACGTCATTTTAAGTGTATCGTCAGTGAGCTTCAAGAAGTTGGAATCTCCAAACGTATATTTTTTTTACACCTGAGGTTAACCACATAACGATTCAGCGTGGGTTTTTGTGAAATGTAAAAAATAGACACGTTTAAAAAAATATGTTGAATTCATTTTTTCAATGGGAGAGAACGTTCAATAAAAACTGAATTTTCAAAAAATATGAATTTTCTGGCAATTATTTCATGGTTCCGACTTTTAAGGGTTAACGGTCACATATTCCACCTATTTAAGACATATTAATGTTAGTCCCACATGACCACATAGTTCAAGTTTCCATAATATCCCATAATACCAACCGTGTCTGTATACCACTGGTTTTGTGCTCCTTTTCGAACAGTTTCAGGGTTTGCGAATGAGATCAGCCTTAGAAATAAAAAAAATCACCACCAACAACAAAAAAACGGGAAAAATGCAGCAGCTGCAGCCGTTGCAAACACAGTGATAGACAGCACAAGAGGGATCGCATTTGAAACATTTTATCTGAGAACCACAGACGATTTATTTATTTGACATTCCCTTAAAACACACACAAAGGCCTCATTTTGCTGTCACTTTTATTTTCTGAATACAGCTAATAATAACAAAACTGAAAACATCAACACAGTCTGTACATTATTTGTGACAACATCATACCACCACGTTTCCATGGAGACAGCATATATAATATCCTGATTGGCCCTTCTGTTGCCGTGAGAGGCTGCAGTCATTGTCCAGGAGGATTTACCTGGTGAAGGAGCGAACATGTCTGCCCCTCCCACCTCCGCTCCCTCCTCCACCGCTGAACTTGCTCCCCTGAGATCCTCTTCCCCCTCCACCGCCTCCACCGACGCCTCCCCCGGCACCACCGCCACCTCCTCCGCCGCTAATCCACGACAGGCCAGTACCTCCTCTGCCGCGTGGAGCTCGATCCCGAAGAGCCAGCCGATACGCACCTGAAGTGTGGAACGAGTGAATCAAACTTTTTTTTCCCCCTATAACACCTTTAATACAGGTCAAAGCGATAAAAAAGTAAAACAAATGCAATAAAACAGAACATAAAAGACTGAAAAAGAGAGCGGTATAAAATGTAAAACTGTGTGTGTGGTCCTTACTTGCAGGGGATTGCCGAGAAGGCAGTGGCCCTCGAGTGAAGTTGCTCTGTCCTCCGCGGGGTTCACTGTAGGTCCCTCTGTGAGTAACAGCTGGAACCTGACCGCTCCACGATGACCCTCGGCCTCCTTCTCTCCGAGTGTAGTTTCCTACAGAACGGGGAAAAAAGGGGGAGATTTGTCACCCTCTGCTGGACAATTGATGTATTTTAGTTGCAGTTTGTGCAGGGCTAAACGAAACACAGTATTTCCCAGGATAATGACTAGGATTCCCTGCTGTGTGCTGCATGTAATGATGAGGCAACTATGACAATGTCCTGGCAACTATGAGACTCGTGTGTATCTGATAGTACATACCTGACAGCAGTACACCTTTAGGCTGTGGTGGAGTGAAAAAGCGAGTCTGGCTGTGGAAAGTAGCTCTGCCTCTGTTACCAGTGAACAGCCCTCTGGTGGGAGGTTTGGGGGCGCTTTTTGGAGGTCGTTTAGGAGGCAGAAGCCCTAGAGGGGTCGTAATGTCTTTAAACTCCGCTGCAACAAAGTCATCCACGTGCATGCTGGGAGGACGGGAAGTATTCTGTTTGCGCAGGCGGAAGATATCATGCGGTCGGGAGACATTCTGCCCAAACCCTCCTCGACCTCCTCGGCCACGAGGAGCAGCCATGATGTGAGCTCTCTTTGCAGGCTCGACGTAGTCAGACTTCCCGCTGCAGAGACAAACACAAGATGACACCATGAAACTGATCTTAAACTAGATTCTGTGCGAATAAAAATATATAGAAATCACAATGACGCTGTACCTAGACGTAATGAACGTCTCATGTTTGTGTTTGCCCAGCCGGAAGCCTTTCGTAGGTTTTGTGTGACCCGGAGAGGACGGCTCAGACAAGAAGGAGCGCTCCAGCTCCGCCTTCAGGTCCAGTTCTGGACAACACTCCTGAGCCAGACCCACCAGATCCACCTTCACCTGCCACACAGACAAAAAGGTAATCATACATATTATATAGAAAACATAAACAGACCATGTAATGTTGTTGCTTGTGGTATTTCCAAATTCCTTACAAGCCAGAGAAGCAAAGAACGTTTACTTAAAAAAGAAGAGGAAGAACATAGCACTGAACAGAAAGCACTTAAAATATGTGAGAGGACTCTAAGAAGTGGATAGTAGATAAATATAAATATCCAAAATATAGGACTCATCCTACTGAATCTTCCTGTCATAGTAGTCATTTTACATCCATCCCATCCTCTTCTGCTTATCTTGGGTCACGAACCCAGAGAAACTCAGACCTCGCTCTCCCCAGCCACTCCCTCCAGCTTATCGAGGAGTTCCCTCGCCAGACCAGGTAAGACATGCCCAGAACAACTCACCCAGAAGGCGCCCAGGAGGCATCCTAGTCAGATGCCAAAAACCCCTGGACTGGCTCCCTTAGATGTGGAGGAGTAGCAGCTCCAGTCGGAGCGCCTCTCAAACAACTGCACTCCCTATCACTCACCCCATCACTAAGGGAGGGGCCAGCCACAACAACTGCAATTTTGTAGTTACACCCATATGGTGCACAGTGAATCAAATACTTTTTTACAGACCATGATGCTCCCACTAAGCTAACACCGTAACAGCAACAAATATTTCTTTTTGACTCGATATACCTGAGTTTCAGTAGCAGAAAAGGATTCATAACTGCTGGTGATGTGAAAAAATTCTACATCGACAAAGATCAAGTAAAAAAAAAAAGAAAAGCAATAATACAAAAACGCATAAAACCGTGAATAAAACAGAAGCTGTAATCAAATTTTCATCCAAAAATGATTAACCATAAATGTGCACGCCAAACATAAGCTCTAGAGATTCTTGGAAATGTACACACACACACACACACACACACACACACACACACACACACACACACACACACACACACACTCTTACCATATCAAGGTCTGTTTCAATGTCATCAGTCTGGAACGGAGAGAACCACAGAGCCTTCAGCTGCTCATCCAGAGCTTCAGACAGAATGAAAACCGTCCTACAGACAATAAAGGCCCAGGGCAATGATCAGTTTACCGTTCCCATTAATTTTTCACATGGCTCATGTGTAAGTGGTTGTTGTTATGAATATCTGATTCAATCAATCTGTCACCGCAAACTGCGATCCTCCCTCGCTCCAGCTGTATAAGCTTCACAACTCGAAGTGATGAGGAGAAAATGATTCAGTATTAATACGTCACGCGGAGGACCAACCTGTGATTAAACTGGGCCCCGAGTGTTTCTGGTGCTGGCAGAGTGGGCTCGGTGTCAGCTGCAGGAGGCGTGTCTGTGGCCGCCTGCAACGTCTGCCTCAGAGCAATCACGTTCTCCAACATGGTCTCCAGGGAATCGTCATCTTTACATAGTTTCTAAAGACATAGACAAAAGCATTGAAAGTTTGATGTCAAGGCAGCCCGGACCTTTATTTTGATAAACACAATGTACTTGTGCGCATCTTTCATACCGCTATCTGTTTTTCCAAAGCAGGTATTGGATGTGACTCTGACTCCTCCCACTGGAGCAGAGCTTTCATTTCAGAGCCCGACAGCAACCGTGGAGGAACAAAAGCAGGATCCTCGCTCGAGCCGTGACCCTCTTCAGCACACTGGATTAAAACGAGGACAGGTACAGAATGAAGAGCAAATATGATTGGAGATAAGCTGGAAAAAGCTTGAGAAAAGAAGCGATTATCAGAAGGACAAGACAAAATATGCAATGAAAAAGCCTTTCCTTTATGCAGAGCCAGTCATTTCTGTGAGGTGATGCATTATTAATAGAGCTTTTTAAAGGCGGCTGCAGAAGGAAACTCTTAGAAAAGGAAAACTAAATTACTAGCATGAACACGTAAGGACAAGGAGGAATGCTTTCAAAGAAGCGACGTCCTTGCTGTAGTCTCTTTTGTAGTCTTTTGTCCAAATATTTTTCACAGAAGTAACACTTACTTAAAAAAAATGACGCTGCTTACACTTCTGATTAAACACCAACCGACTCTGATCGGCTCCTCTTTATGACTCCGTCTCTAAAGAAGATTGTTTGTTTGCTTTTATTGTTTAGGGCTCCTCCAGACTAATCATTTAGCTATACGTATTCCTTCAGTGCTTCATTTGTTTTTTTGAAAAACTGCTCTGTTCTCAAACAGATTACCTTTAAATTAATGCTGAGCCTTTCTTCTGTTTTTATTGTCAAATATACAGTTTTATTTATTATGTTGTGATTTGTGTTTGCTGTATTGCTTTGTTCTCTGTTAGTTTAAAGGGACAGGATCCTGATTTTAATGATCATCTAAGCAGTACTTACCATTGGTTCTGTGTGGAGGATCTGCCTGAGAAAGTCGAGCAGAGATGAGAGCAGATCTGCTGAGTCTTTGTTGAAGGACAACACCAGCCTCTTCAGCAGCGAGCACAGCCCAGCGCCATGTTTCTTCAGAGCACTGAAACAGAGATAATCAGAGGTAATCAAGGTCTCCTTTAACTAAGACAAAGGCACAGTGTGCCGTAGCAACATGGCAGGGTGGTATTGGTGGGGAAGCAGTTACGCCAAATAAACAAGAAAAGGTTCTTGTTTACACTTTGAGGTGGTAGAGTCCGTAGTCGTGCTCTGTGAGGAATGTCAAAGTCCTGATGCAGGTGAGGAGGAGGGGCACGCTGCTCTCTGCATTCCCCAAAACCTCCAACAGAGAACTGCACACCGATGACATCATCTCTCGTCCCGGAAGTGCATTGGCCAGCTGCTCAGCCTCTGACACACAGCTTTCACCAGGTGGAGACACCACGAGAGAAATGTCCTGGTGAAGACAGTTTTACAGTTTTTAGTATTTTTCCATTAAAAGATTTTTTTTCTTTTTTAAATTTGTGTACTTCCAGCTTTACCTGGTCACACAGTGACTGTAATATTGTCCCCACTAGTACACTGCACTGCTGCTGATGTATGGAGTGATCCGTTGGAGGAACCAACAGAGACAACAACAAGGGGAACAGGTCGGCCAGCTGTTCATCTCCAGAAACTGACCCGGACAGCAGATGCAGTGTTGCGCTCTTACAGGCTCTCTGAGACACCAGAGTATCCATCAAAGAAAGGAGCCGCAGGACCTGGGCCCAGGAGACGCTTTTTCCCTCTGCCCTGCAAGTAACAGGTTACAGACATTTGAAATATGATTTACAGGAAAAAACACAGACGCTATGTTGATGTGTGAGTTTGTGCATCCTTCACTCACGGCTGCAGCTCCTCCAGCAGGAGCTCCAGCAGGGTCTTCATGATGTGTGTTGCAGTGGGTGAAGACAAGTCTGCCAGCTGAACGCACACTCTCCTGAGTATGGCCAGGAGAGGAGGGCAGGTGGTGGTGCACACACATTTGAATGCCTCGGAAAACACTTTCCACTGTGCGCGAATGTGCATGCTCCACAGCTTCCTTGTGTTTAAGGCTACAGCCACATCTTGGACTGATGTCACCTGTGGAGCCAAAAGCCTTCTAATATTAATGTGTGTATGAAGACAAGAATATCAGAGCAGGTTAAAGCGCAGGATAGAGAGAGTTACCTGAGTGCTATGCATTGGCAGTGGAAGAGGCAGAAGCTCAGACAGCAGCGTCAGACCAGAGAAAAGGCCTTCAGAAGCTTTGAGAAGAGAGCTCAAAACCTCCTTTAGCATCAGAGACCACGTGTTGCTGGCCAGAGTCTCTTCTGTATGGGTCACCTGTAGCATGACACAAACATGGTGTCTCTTAAAAATCTCAACTGAAGCCCCATTTAGTATCAAAACTGTTATCTGATGCTGCACACACCTCCTCATTAACACCCTGCGTAAAGGTGAGCAGGACGTCAACAATGAGCACTTGCACTCTGGTCTCCTCCCCATCGAGACGCCCAGAAGCAGGAATGGAGCACACTATCATGTGAAGCGTCACCAACACGCTGGCCACGCGAGTGTCCCTGAACTGGAAAGCTCCGCCGCGCAGCAGCTCGGTGAGCATGGTGCGAAGCAACCGCAGCGTGCTGATACATATACTGAGGATCATGCAGCGCTGCGGCGTCGGACCCATGTGTCCGTGCACGCGCCACGGCTGCAGTAACACGCTGCATAGCTTCTGCAGGACACGCACACACGTATCGAGACCCTCCCCAGAGAAAAGCTGGACTCCTGCAAGGCTCCACTTCAGATCCCTCTGCTGACCTGTGGAGTGGAGAAGGAGCTGCTGAAAAACCATCTGATCTAATCTCAACATAAAGTGAAAACTATAAAAAAGCAAACAAAATAAAAACAAAGTCATATTTGGGGTCAAAGTTTGTTTGGGGTCCTTACCTTCTACAGCAGGAGGTGGGCAAGCGATGTGACAGAGGACCCTCAGAGCAGTGACCAGCCCGGTTCCCTCAGCAGTTAACACATTTTCTACATTCTGGAGTCAAACAAAAACCATGTTCAGGATGACAAACCGCTTTGAAAAATACATCACAGAGCACTTCAGTGAAGAGTTGTTAACTTTTTTTATCCCCCTGGATTTTTCTGTGGATTTCAGAGATGTGAGTCAGCTTACCAGCTGGTGTAGATGCTTATAAGCCAAAAAACACTTCATTTACTTTACCTTGCAGAGTGTTTAATGAGTGAGAGCTCTGTACCTGTTTGATATAGTCGATAAGGGTGGGAATGCTGCCAATCTCAAAGCGAAGCTTCTCCACTGGCTCCAACCATTTACTGAGCTCTAAAGAAACGCACACACAAAGACACTCAAACAATTAAAACTGTCTTATATAGAATGCAGAATGCAATGATTTGCAAAGCAAATCTCATAAACGCACATTTTATTCTCCTCCCGAGGGCTTATGTGAGGGTAGAAACCAATGAGCTTGATTTCATTTTGGAGAAAATCGGATCAAGATCACAAAAAATGTAAACAATATACTAAGGCTTGGGGGACATCGTTGAGACATGTTTACTGTGTAACATCCCCTCTTTTAACAGCAGTCCATAATCTTGAAACTGATGAGCCCAGCCGTTGTCCGAGTCGTGTTTGACATAAGATTTTAGCAGCTCAACAGCACCGAGTTTTCTGTGCGGCGTTTTAGGTTTCATGATGCTACAAATGTTCTCATTTGGTGAGAAGTCTGGACTGCAGAGAGGACCGTTCAGCACCAAGACTCTGCTCCTATGAAGCCATGCTGCTGTAACAGATGCAGCAAACAGTTTGGCATCGTCTTGCTGAAAAATGAAAGGCACTCCCTGAAAAAGAAATCATCTGGGTGGGAGCATGCATGCATGGTACCTTTCCTGATGTGTAAGCTGACATACCATAAGAGATGGAAGCGAGTACTGAGCACTGACAACAAGCTAGATGATCTCTTCAGTCTGGAGAACATGGTGTCCGTGTTTTCCACTTTACTTCTGTACATTTTAAACAAACTTTGGCCCAGAGGAGACAGCAGTGTTTCTGGATCATGTTCACAAAGGGCTTCTTCACTGCATGACAGAGCTTTACCTGCATGGTGAAATGTGTTTACATTTCTGGAAGCCTTCATGAGCCCATGAAGTGATTTCAATGACAGAATCGTGCCTGTTTTTGATGCAGTGCCACCTGAGATCAGCGGCAGCGATACTGATTTTCTTGCGCTCAGATATTTCTCCAGATTCTTGGAATCATTTAAAGATGAGACAGTCAAATTCTTTACAATTTACATGTTTTTGCAGACCAATTCTTACTTCTAAGAAACTCAGCCTGTCTAAGATGCGTTTTTTATACCCACTCATGTTACTGACCTGTTGCCAGGTAACCTAATTAGCTGCAAAATGTTCCTACAGCTGTTTCTCTTACTTTTCCAGTCTTTTGTTTCCCTCTCCCATTTTTTTAAAACATGCAGCATCCCAAATATATTTGAACTGGCGCTTAAATATAGTTGTGACATTGATGAGAATTACCCTGTAACTTGGCATTGGTGTCATCAGCCTTGGCTATAGAGAGCAGCGGAGCGGCATATTGTTCCATCATCCGCAGCTCATTAGAATTCTGCACCACCAGTAAGACCAGCATGCAGGCGTAGTTATATGTCACCGCTTTGCGAGCCTTCCCCTCACTAACAGAGGAAGAGAGACAAAAAAACATGAATTTATACTGAAGTCAAATCAGAGAACAAGAAAAAAGGTTGGGGAGAAGAAATGGTAGGGAATAACAAGTGTACCCCTGTCCGTCCTTGCTGTGGTGCTGGAGCAGCGTGACCAGACAGGAAAGGTTGTTATCCAGGCTGAAAACATGAGCTACGGCGCTGCGTCCAGTCTGCGTAAAGGTCATCAGGTAAAGCGCATGGAGCGTGCCCAGTATATCTGGATTGTCACCTTCATCTAGGCCTGCACCACCGTCTCCTCCTGTAGCCACATGGCTCATGAGTTCTGACACGCCTTGCAGAGCATGCAGGGCCTGTATCAGCCACACGCCAAAGCCCTCTTCACCGCACCCTGGCCCAATCAGACCCGCTTCTCCCCCAGTACACATGCTCTCCTCTGCCTCGGACTCTGCCATCGACGCCAGGAGGCGCAGCAGCAGGTTGGTGGGTGTGGGCTGGGCGAGAAGGAAGAGCAGACCCGACTGGGTGAGCGACAGGAAGCGCAGAAGCTCTCTGACGGCTTGAGTGACCCCAAGATGGCCGGCTGCAGCAGCTGCTGACAACACCACCGTTGTGCTCTCCAGAAAATGACATGCATGCATATACCTGAAAGAGGTCCAGGGCAAAAATACACATTTATTAATGTGTCTAAACTATATTTAAATACTATTTTCTTTGCAAGCTCCTTTGACTATATTTAAATTTATGCTACACTGTGATGCTTATGTCTGAGTATGTACCTATACAGTGATGGGTAGGGGTTGTCCCTCTCCTGTGGCCCTGTAATTCTAGCAGTAGTGGGGAAGGCTTTCCCAGGAGGTTGCACCATGCAATGAGGGGCTGTTTCTAGCAGGTGATGTAGCTCTTCCAAAGCACCTGCCAACCTATCGAGCTCTGCCTCACTCAGAGCGGTGGAGCTTAGCGAAGGCTCCTCTTCCATAGGGCTCTCTGCATCATCCATCTCCTCCTGAGGATGATGGCCAGGCAGGATTACCACAAAAACATTCTCAGCCACTGAAACTTATATGAAAGTGTGGGTGTGAATGGGTGTTGTTACCTGTTGTGGTTCACTCAATGCAGCTGCTGCATGCTGTAGGTCAACCAGCACCTCATACATGTGGCTTTTCTGTAATATAGCATTTCCAGCTGTTATGACCCTCACCGTTTCCTCATGCAGGAACAGCTGGACCAGACGCTGTGAAGCAGGACAAAGTATAGATGGTCAGACTTGATCAGTCAGAGGAATTATTTCAGACACAATCATCTTAATTTAGATGTGCATAATTTAAAGCTGGTTTAATATTCAATTTATTCTCTAGAAACCAACAAGAACATCTGTATATGATGGAAATAAAGGTAGATGAATGATGATTGGATATTTCTTGCTAACCTGGTAGCCACTCTTCTCTGAATTTCCTGCATGTAGGAAGGCCTCCACCCCTGCAGGAGCGCTGATCAGAGCATCCAAAGCTCTTAGGATACTCAGCTTCAGTGTGGAGGAGACGTGGTCTGTATGGAGCAGCTCCAGCAGCACATTCAGAACCCCTTCATGCAGCAGCATCGTGAGACCCTGAGGACACTCTGCCAGGTATGAAGCTAGCTTAGCACCAGCCTTCAGCTGTCTGAGGTTAAGGGCAATGGGCTGTTTGAGAGCAACCTCCATACTGAGAGCTTGGAGAGTCCACTGGACTAAAACTCTAACAGAGTCCTCTATCTCTCCCTCTCCCCTTTTAACTAAATAAGCCAACCCTTTGGCCAGAAGTCCAGGAGCCTCTTCCAGAGCACTGACCCATCGTGCATCTCTGTCATCACCAATACTAGCTAAGAGTTCTTTCAGCTGAGCCACAGCCTCAGCTTCCTCTCCTCCTGCTGGTCCTTCTGCTCCACCTGCCTCCTTGGGCTCCTCCACAGTGGCCTTCTCAAACTGTATATCAAAGCGAGTTTTGTATGGAGGCGTGAAGTAGAGCAAGGGTCGGAGTTCTCGTTCATATGGGTCGTACTGGACCGGTGGAACAGATGCAAGATCCTCAGGAGTGTAGTCCATGTCAAAGTTCTGCAACTTGAAGCTGCCGTTATCCAGATCGTCCTCATCGCTGGAAATCTGTTCATAGCCATCATTATCTATAAGAAGGTGGAAAGGTTGTTTAGGAGGGAGTTTATTCACTGTAAAAGCATTATAAAAATGCATCATCTGTTTCATAATAATGTATATAAAACCGAGTGAGAATAAGGAGGCCAGCGGAAACTATATAGTCCCTTTCTCATACAGAGCTGCATACACTCACAAACCTGGCACCACCTGGCAGCATCACTCACAACATGCAGGGTTAGTTTTGCATGCATGACAGAAACTCAGCGACGGCTGTGAGGACGCGTCAGGAAGACATCCACATGTCGGCTTATGAAGTCTAACCATAAGCCTTCAGAGCTGCCCTCAGGGGTGTTCTGAGAGTTTGCACCACCCAGCAGTTCGAGATGGATGCAGCATGCCAGAGCACACACTCTCTCACTCTCAGTCCCAAATGGACCCTGCTCCCGTGGACCCGAGATATCTGGCAACCACGAGCAGAGTTGATTTTCTAGAGGAGAAGCGTCCATTTGGGTTTGCAGACAATCCTACTCTCGCATAAGAACTCCCCTACCTTCCTCCATCTCCTCTTCCTCGTCCTCACCCTCATCCTCCTCCTCCTCTTCTTCATCCTCCTCCTCCGGCGCACTCCCCTCAGTCCGTGTATCTTCTTCCTCCTCCTGCTCCTCCTCTTCCTCCTCCTCCTCGGCCTCTTCTTCTTGTTCAGCATCCGAGTACGTCTCGTCAGCGGGCAGCGATCTTTCAGGCGACACGTTCTCCAGGTAGTCGTCACGGCCCTCGGTCGGCTCTTCCTTGGCCACGCCCACTATAGATTTTACAACAACACACACGGCACACAAACATACAGAGTACAACCCATTTAATAACAAGAACTCATTAATAAATGATACTGTATCATTCTTATTGAGAATGTGTTACATTTCTTCTGCACAGCTATCTCCCCACTCTTACACTAACCAACAAATCTTATCACCCCATTGTTAAAGAGTCTGCACTGGCTTCCAGTTAAACTTGGGTATACGTTTAAAGTCTTGGTTCTTACTTTAACAGCCTTATGAGGTGAGGCCCCCACTTATACTGTCTATCCACCCCATTTTTCTAAGCAGGATCCTCAGGTCCGCAGATAGAGGTCTTCTAGTGATTCCACGTACCTTTCTGAAAACTACGGGGGATTCATAACCTCAGTGTCAAAACTGGAACAGCTTACCAATCTCTCTCCGCACCCTTGACTCTCTGGCCTTCTTTAAAAAACAGGTTAAAACCTATCTACTAAGAAGTTTGGTTTTGACATTGTTTATTTATTTAATTATTTATTTATTTATTTTTCACCTCTCTAAAACACTTTGGTTCTGGTCTTACAAATTATATAAATAATTTACCTACTTACAATTTATCTTAGCGGGAGGAAGAACTGAGCGTAACTCTAAACAGAATGAGTTTTATATGACCTTATGTTTTCATATTTTACATCATTTTTTAGTATGTGGAGAATTTTTCTATATAAAGAAACACTTTATTATTATTACTAATTACTGTCTCAGCAGCTAAAGCAATAGCCAAATACGTTTTTTAAAAGCGGCTGAAATAGTGAGATATATTATAGTTCATACCCGTCATTTGAACCTGCTCCTCATCATCATCATCCGGGGGTGGAGGACCAGGTGGGGTGCGAGGCCCTCTGGGTGCTGGTCTTGGTGGGCTGCCATTGTACTGGTCATCTTTTTCCCACTCTTAAAAGCACAATTTAAAGTAGGAAAATGTGGGAGAAGAAGAGATTTACAGGTTTGCAATCACTACTTTTTTCCTAGTCTTGGGGAGGTTTCTGCCCAATGAATGAATGTATTTCTCGTGACGGTCAGTTTTAAATCACCTTGTTTAAGGATCCTCTTGAGCCCACTGGGCTGTTGAGGGGGTGGTGGTGGAGGGGGAGGAGGTGAGTCTTGGTCGTGTCCATGCGGCCGCTCCGCTGTCCCGTACACCGCAACAGTCAGAGTTGTGTACCAGCCACGCAACACTAGGCCATCTGTATTCACCTGCATGAACAAATCCATTTAATTATCCACAAATCAGCAGGGTGGGAAGAAGAATGAAAAAACCTACTCGTCCATGAATGACCATTTACCTTTCCGCTGGGTCTGAACACAATGGACTTGTTTTCATCATATTCCAAACTGAGGGCAGAAAGCAAGACAGAGCAGGTTAAAGCGAGAGTGCTGATATGAACCAGTGCTAAACTAACATATGTTTGTTCCTCATGAGTCTCTGTGTTTATTTTCAGCACGTGAGTTTAAACTAGCATATAATTGCTGTGTAGCTATGTCTAAAACACACATACACCCTCACCGTGCTCTATATCGCACTCTGCCCTTACTTGCTTACTACTTCTAATAAAAGGCATTTACCTTTCTATGTGACAGGTCACATGACATGATGACCTCTTCTAAAATTATAATTATCTGGTTCAACTGGTCACAACATACTGACATATATGGTAGTTATTCCAAGCAGATACAGTAGTTTGAGGGTTTTACAAGTCAAACAGGTCTTAATCAGGCTTCATGTTAGATTGATTTCTTATCTAAGAAATGTTGTTCATAAATATTACATTCACATCTATTAAAAATTTGTAAGATACTATGAAAGCAATCACACTGGTTTGAAAAATCTCCTCCCAAACTTCCCAGTAGGGATAATAAGTCGGGTGTGTTATGTTTGCACAGTTTTTTTGTTCTTTTTTAATAACGCTGACACAATGGCCACCTTTAAGTACAGGCTTACGCTCTGGTGCTACTGCATACACCTGTGTCATTATGAGGTTAGAACAAAAATACTTGACTCAAACATTCCACCAATCACCTATTTCACTGAGACCTTGACATTTTTTCTGCTGCAGTGTGGGCACGGTTTCTGGAGAGACCAGTTGACCAAACATAAGAACAAAGACACCTGAATATGGGAGCGTGCGTGAGAACAGGTCTCAGATGCTACTGTGACTGGTTCTACAGGTGAGACAGACTTTTTGAGATTGAACCAGGAAATGGAGAGGTAGAGAACGAGAAACGGTTTAAAAAACAAAACAGGAGAGGGGAGAGTGAAAATAATTCTCACCTGCCCAGTCTGTGGAAGGTGGGGCTGTTGGGTTTGGTAACATTATTGAAGAACAGCTCCAACTGGAAGGCATGAGGAGAAGTCTCTCTGGAAACCAAAAAAAAGAAAAAATAGAATCAGGACTCGAGTATCCAGAGGACCTTATAACTCTGAGTGACCCAGCAACGATACGATGTGCGATTTGATATTAAACACTCAGTTGTAGCTACATTTGTAGGTACACAAATAGAATTTAATGCCTTTAATTCAACAAAAAACGGATCATAGTAGCTATGATAAAAGTAGCTTTTATGGCAGAACTTTGAACCAGATGTTACTTATACATCATGAGTTTCATGGATTTCCAGAAAATAAATGCACTTTATCATAATATCAATACTACCACAATGCATACCAATGCTAGAGGACTGTGCATTCTTGAGTCTGTTCATTGAGCTAAATTACATCACTCAGCAGGTTTGGGGGAAATTGAGACCTGTTCAACAATGGAGCTCAGGTGTCAAATGCACACACTTCTTTATTCACAGAAGCTTCTCCATTTCCCCCAGACACACACATTTATCTCAGGTATCCATAGCAAAAAACCAAACAAAAAAAACAGCGACCCCAAGACATCTCTAAAGGCAATATAGCAATAACACCGAAGGTTTTTTGCAACTCAAAACCAATTCAATGTTTGCTTTTCTTATATAATTCTGATTTCTAGTATTGGGACAAAGATGACACCATTGAGTATTGCCTCTTTTCCACTAGCACCTACTTGACTTTACCCAGTTTTCAGGGGTTTCCATTAAGTGGTAGTACCAGGTGCATTTTAGTACTTGGCCAGGGTACCAAACGACTTGAGTCGAGCTAAAAATCTGACACTAACAGACTGCATGTCATTGATTGGCCAGAGAATGATATCGCTGGATGAGTCAGACACCTTCACAAGACTCAAACATGCCATTTTTAAAACTCAGCAACGATGGAAATGCAAACAAACCAACGCTGTGATCCAACAACGAGGTTCAGATATTTTTGTGCTAAAGGTAGCCAGAACACTGTTGTGTTTGTGGCAAGTACAAATGATATCAATCAACTTTCGGGCCACATTGCTATAACGGGCAATAAATGGCACTTTTCTATCCTAAACAGGAATTTATGCTTCAGCTGAAAACATACGCCATGACCTGACAGTTTTTGAATTTATTGGTGACAGAATAACAATTGTCACTTCAGCATGAGAAAAAATAACCATAGATATAAAGACTCAAAAATGTCAGCAAATTCCTGGAGGGAGATTACCAAAACTATCGGAATGGACTTAAAGGAAGGTATAAAGAAGTGGAAGAACTACAGGGACAAAAGGCCCCACAAAAGGCTTTAAAAAAAACAACAAAGTCACATCATTTCATTTGTTTCTATCAGCTGGCAACACATATAAAACACCGGGACATCACTACAAGGTAATTAATATGTAATGCACCAGCGCAAGCTTCAATGTCAGCATTGACATCAGCCATTTATGTAGAGTGTTGTAAACTTTACAAAGATTCCCCATAGAAGTCTGAATCAGACTTGGCTCATGACTCAAAGTGCTTTAGCCTATGGCTTTAAGCACTTTCTCACTATCATGCACAAATCAATGGATTCATCTGAGGCAATCTGTGTTCTGAAATGAAACCTTATCAGTTCTATGCAGAAGTTAAAGGTTTCTCTGCACAATTCTGAGGTAAAATGGTCCAATGAGTCATGTAAAGCTCAGGTTGTGGTTTTGCTTTAGTAGAAGACTACATTGAAGGAGGACGGTAGCCACACTGAAATGGTGTTTGCCTTTTAAAGGTACAGTCTCAAAATTAGTAAAAAGACAACAGTGCAATATACATGCTGGCAACGCTATTAGAATTCGTTTGGCCTGACTGGGTGTAGCCAGTAAGATGCATAGTGTGTTTTCAAGCAGGGATGGTGAATCTTACCCAAACGCTCTGCTGTCAGGTAGGTTACTATGAGCTTTGATCCCTGGAGGAATGACCCGCACCTCTGTGATCAGCACCCCGCAAGGAAACCGCACCACGTCTATGTTGGTTAACTGAAACAAAGGAGACATGATTGCTGATACAAACAATGATGAAATGTTTCATTTATAACCTACGCCTTCCGCATTAGTCACTTTTACTCCCGCTTCGAGGTAAACATGCTCCCTCACACTTTAAAGTTAGCATTAGCCACCTGGCTAACCACCAATCAAACTGTGCAAAGACACAAAAGACGGCAACTCTTTGAGCTACTAATGTATAAGGATTAAATTCACATCAAACAAACGCGTTATGTATAAACGGGCAGCTGTGCAGTAATCGCTGCTTAAAACCAGGATAATGACATCACATAGCTGCTAAGGTTAGCTAACGGCGTTAGCCTGGAAGTTAAGCATCCTTCCTCAAAACTCCTGAACGCGCTTGAAACTAACTTTTAATGCAGGTAGTCATGGAGTAAACATAAAAGCATGTGTTTAAGTGTTAAACAACACTACCTCTGCACTCTGATGCTTAAACGTATCCAGAAAAAGAAGCTCCGTTGAAGGGTCCCCCGCCATCGCTCCACTGCTATCGGCCGGGCCAGGGGTAAACTTCCGGATTAAAGTCAATACTTCCGGAGCAAGCACCCCCCCTACAAAAACAAAACAAAATAAATAAAATAAATAAATTATTATTATTATTATTATTATTATTAGTAGTAGTAGTAGTAGTAATAGTTGTTGTTGGTATGAGAAATTTAGTTGGAAAAGTCATATTTGCTTCGATTTAGATTTAGGAGAGAAAAAAGTTGAAAAGTGTTCTGAGGGATATTTCTTTCTTTTGTAAGACATTTTATTTTGTATTTAAAAAAGTTTAAATCAGTTAATCATATCAGAAAATCAGAATTTAATAACTTTATGATTTAATAACATGATAGCTCCACTTGGTCTGTAGTAGTATTTTTTTAACTGATTTCACGGATTTTTCTTTCTGTATTTCAGCAAAAAATTAGATTTTTTTTCTCACACTCATTTTCTCTTCTTCTTCTTCTTCTTCTTCTTCTTCTTCTTCTTCTTCTTCTTCTTCTTCTCATTATTATTATTATTATTATTATTATTATTATTATTATTATTATTATTATTATTATTGTTGTTGTCAATTCCCTTAAAAGACAAAATATTTTTTTATTTTAAAAAAAGACTACAATTCGAATTATTGAATTGTTATAAAGACATTTACTATTTATGAAATATTTTAATAATTGACTACATAGTAACTAAAGTGTATATACTTCAAATTTGTTATTATTATTGTTATTATTATTATTATTATTTATTTGTTTGTTTTTTCTCGTTGTTGTTTTATACTAATAACCATTTATTACCTTTTCTGTCCTGCGTGAGCTGCCACGTACTAAACTTTGAACCACTTGAAAGAGGGACGGGCCAGGTAAAGGGGTCACGTGGTCGCACAGGTAGCTTCCCTACAAAAGCGGTGAGCGTTCAGCCATTGCTTCGCGATGGTGACTGCGGGAGGCTTCACATAAAATCTCACAGGCGACAAAACTTTGGATTTACGGGCTCACCTTTGCGCTCAGGTGTCAGAGTAAAGGCGTTTCTACCTCCCGCGTCCCGCTCGCGTCTCACATCCCGCTGATCTTCAGTCCCTTTTAGTCTCGTTTAGTATTAGATTAGTTTTCTGTGTGTTTGCGGTTCTTTTTTTAAAAATTCAGATGACGGCGCAGGTAGACTACCTGGTGGTGGTTTTCACCGCCACATCTGGCGCGAGCGGAGATCTCCTGGGGTCTGACGAGAAGGAGCTCGTGCAGTTGGTTTGGCAGCTCGTGGATGTAAAGAACAAAAAGGTAAAAACTCACTTGTAGGCTGCTTGTTCTTACTTGCTAATCATCGTGACTCCAAAGCAGGAAATGTGGTGTTCAAAGGAGTGGACAGGTGGACTGCAAACAGCGATACATGATGTCAGACCAATATTAATAAGGAAAAAAAAAGTGTGCCAGGGGGATTTTTGTGGGATTCCTCCTTACGCGCACCTGTTCAGAAATCATTGTTCGCTTTAATTACAAAAAACCTTCTGCCTTATGTGTAAGACGTTTAAATTGCTCCTTTGCTGCTTTCCACTGTGATAATATCTATGTAGCAAACACACATATTTCACGCTGGTTTTATTATATTGTTCCAAAGCCTCTGAGTTTCTAGCTAGGCTGGCTGTTTCAAGGCTGACTTGTTTTTTTCCTCTCTGAACCAGTTGGGCAAGGTGAATGAGCTCCTCATAAAGCCTGACCTCTCAGACTTGACAGAAGAAAAAGAGGAGGAGGATGTGGTGGAGGAGAGCGTGGAACAGGAGAATGGATCTGGAGCAGACTGTGTGTACAAAGCACCGAGTGTTGATAAAGCTTTAAACATGGTAATGTCTTCAAAGTAGCCAGAAAGCCATTAATAGGCCATTTATAGATTATTAATTACAGTTACAGCACTGGTTAAAGCAGCTGTATTAAAGTCCATACCTCTAAATGTTTTTACAGTTTCATCTGCAACTGACAAATGAGGTGAACAGCGCGGGCGCAGGCACGTCGGTGTGTTTGTGTACAGACGGGCAGCTCCACATCCGCCAAGTGATTCACCCCGAGGCCGCGAGCAAGGTGAGCGGGGCGGGGGAACACGCCTAGCAGCCAGGGCGGATGTTTCACTCACTCACTGCTGCGGGAGCCTTCGACGCTCTCAGAGGGCTGTGTTGTGTCAGCACCGCACTGCTCGCTGAACTTTAATGTTAACACTGAAAGCTGATCTACAGGAGAAGCCACTGCGGTGACACACGCCCATGCGCATACCGCACACTCGTGCACATAAAAGACAGGCACACATGATGCTCATGAAATTTCTCCTGAGTGCCTTCAAACTGTGTGTTAATGATACAAGAAGTAGGCAGTGCATGCTCTTGTGGCCTGTGCAAACATGAGTTTCACAGCAATAAAAACAGAAGCTGCTGATGGGCCTTTCACTCACACTGTATTCCTCTCCAGAACATCCTGGTCCCAGACTGTTTCTACTCTTTCGTTGACCTTCGGAAGGAGTTCAAGAAGCACTTCCCCGCTCCTGACCTCAAAGCTCTGAATGTCCACACCATGGCAGAGTGTATCCTTTTAACACGTCACCTGTTTACATTAACATTTCATGTCCTGTTGCCTGTTTACGCCGTCTAAGTCATGGATTTCCAGACATTTGTTTTTTTTGCTCGATTGATTTGATCCGATTGATTGGTTCTTTCTCATATGGTGCATTGCATTACCCTCAAAAATCCACAACACACGCATTAAGCAGTTGGCTGTAGGGATAAAGGTTTTGAAATGCAAATAAGGAAATAGTGGCAGCACCTTACTAAGCCCTTAGTGAAAGAGTGTGTGTTTACCCAACAGGACCAACCCCATACACACACACACACACACACACACACACACACACACACACACACACACACACACACACACACACACACAGGTATAGGAAGAAAAACACGTGAGTGTATTGCTGTTCTGTTTTCACTTTTTTCATTTTTTCACACACCTGTCTATTCTGTCATGATTTGGGAAAAAACAGATCAGACCTAGTTTTAAAAAATGTATTAAACCAGCACCAGAAATTATTTGGGAGCAGGCGAATGACTCCGCTGATATACAACCGGATCTTCTTTTGAATAGGACAGAGGGATTTAGTGCTGGCGACTCTAAATGCAGATGAACCTCCTGGTTAAATGGAACTCAGTTGCCAAAGAGGGCCTGGTTACGGCCATGATGATCAGTGTAGCGATCTTGCGGATATCCTGCCTTTTAATACTCCAGGTTGATTCAGAGAAGGTGTAGAAGAAAGCTGAGAGAGTGGGCTCCACCCAAAGCATACAACTCCAACTAAATTGAAAATGGACTTAGGAAATGAGAGAGAGGAAAAAAAGAAGAAATCAAACCTCCAATCCTGCTGGACCACGATGCATTCATGATTAATAACACTGTCGCTCTCTTGCTTGTGCTCCTTAACCACCTCCTCCTCAGCTCTTAGTATACCTGTTGATGTGCCCACCATGTGGGACCCCTCTGCCACACCGGATCCATCGGTCCCTTTGCCTGCAGAAGTAGCCACACAGCAGCTTCAGGTTATGTCCAGCGTTGTCCTGGCACTGCTATCTGAGCCATTTTGTAAGTACCACGTACATTACCGAGTAATGTTAGCAAACACATCAGTAAATCGATTTACTACTAATGAGTTCCAAAACTGTGTTACTTTAAGTAAAACCCTGCTGTGAACTAAACTAGAAAATCAATTAGGACCTCTTTTGAGGATAACTGAAATTTCCTTTAATCATTTTCCCCCCCAAAAATGGATGATCCAAGATTCATAGTACTACTTTTGAGCTTGCCACTTAACAAACCGGTAATTAAGAAAGGAAAGAAATGTAAGGTCTTACCTGATTTAGACTTTAACCATTTGCTTTGCCTTTTAAAAACGGTCTCAGCTTGATTACTTTGTGTGTTATCATGGTGACTCTGTCACTTTGTTGTTGCAGGCCACACGTTTTCGAACCCTGAGAGAGTTAGTGAGAAGTTCGAGAGCGGCACTTGGTGAGTAACATTTATTAAAGATACACATTATTTTTGTTCCCTGATAACCCACTGTAATAATACCTGTGTGTGTGTGCAGCAGTAAAATGGAGAAAGTGTGCAACAACACGGTGATCCGAGCCAGAGGATTGCCGTGGCAGTCTTCTGACCAGGATATCGCTCGATTTTTCAGAGGCCTCAACATCGCCAAGTACGTTGCTGACATCTTTAAAGGCGCACATTTTTACACTGTTTATCATCTTTTTTTAATCACTGATGACACCCAGAAAGCTGCTGCTGACAGAGGTTTTCAGAGAGGCTTTATAACCCCCTTCATATGCTGTGCTCTTTAGAGGAGGGGTTGCGTTGTGCCTGAATGCTCAAGGGAGGAGGAATGGAGAAGCTCTGGTTCGCTTTGTGAGCGAGGAACACAGAGAGCTGGCGTTGCAGAGACACAAACACCACATGGGGAATAGATATATTGAGGTAAGGCGTCTGGACACAGTAGAATCAGCCACATCACCAAATTATTGTCCCATCACTAAACATCGTTCCCCTCTATCGGCAGGTTTATAAAGCGACAGGAGATGACTTCCTGAAGATAGCAGGAGGTGGGAAGTTCATATATCTGTTAGCTTAAGTGCAGCCGCCTGGTTTATGTGTGTATATAGTGAAACTGAGTTGAAAAAGAGGACTTTTGAAGTCTTTGAGATCTTATATGGTGCTATTTTATTAATACTTCAGCAACTTCTTATATGAGCTTGAATTCATGTATTTAGTAATAATGATTTTTAGGAGTTGAAAATGTTTCAGGACCTTTGCAAATGTCTCCAGGTCCATTGGGGTTTTTCCTTCATGCCACTTGTAATCTTAAAAGAAAAATTATTATTAGCACAAAAAGCTGTTGGTTATGACTCAGTGATACCATTTAATGGCAACACAGCCTTTTATGAAGGGCAATAAGTTTGTCAACAAGGCACAGCTCATCACTGAGTCATTTGACCTGAATATTAATAAT